TTTTGCGACCCCCCCGCATGCTCTGCGCTGCTCGATTTTACCTGGATTTCTGCGACGACCTCGAGTACTGAGCGCGGGGGACACATAGACGTTTGGTGCTTTGGTCTTGCGGGTTGCTGCGGGTTGGTGGTTGCGTTTTGTGGTGGTTTTGGTGTGTGTTTGCTTTGGTTTTCGCACCTGCTCTGTTTCACCCCTAGTGTTGAGACCCACAAGAACGGCCTACTGCGCTGCTAATGTAGTAAAGAGGCGTCGGTCCAAAAAAAAGAAGCCATAAAAGAAAAGACATTGATATCCAACCTTTCGCAAGACAGCACGCAGTGCGCAGTTCTACGCATGCAGCACACATAGACAGCGCAGGATGCCTTCTCGTGTTTCTTGATGTCGCAACACTCACTACCTACACGCAGCAACAGTGCAAAACAACAGACATGCAGCGCACGAACACGAGCACATACACACAGTGCGGGATGTCTTCAACCCTTCATTGACGTCTTCGCGCCCCATGACGTCCAGATCGGACATCGCCCAAACATGTTACATTTGACAGCAGCTGATCACTTCCCACAGAGAGACGAGTCTGAGCGCAGGACTGGTCACCTTCCCTCCCAAACGACATCTCTTTTTTTCCCGGTCCACTGCATGGCTGGTATTTGCCATGGTTTGGAACCAGCGAATTCGGGGACCATGGTATTTGCGATGGTTTTGGAAGCAGCGAATTCGGGGACCATTGTTTTTGCGATGCTTTTGGAAACAGCGAATTCGGGGACCATAGTATTTGCGACGCTTTTGGAACCAGCGAATTCGGGGACCATGGTATTTGCGATGGTTTTGGAACCAGCCACGGAAGCTTCTTGCGATGGTTTTGGAAACAGCGAATTCGGGGACCATGGTGGTATTTGCGATGCTTTTGGAACCAGCGAATTCGGGGACCATGGTGTTTGCGATGCTTTTGGAAGCAGCGAATTCGGGGACTATGTTATTTGCGATGCGTTTGGAACCAGCGAACTCGGGGACCATGGTATTTGCGATGGTTTTGGAAACAGTGAATTCGGGGACCATGGTATTTGCGATGGTTTGGAAACAGCGAATTGGGGACCATGGTATTTGCGATGCTTTTGGAAGCAGCGAATTCGGGGACCATGGTATTTGCCATGTGTTTGGAACCAGCGAATTCGGGGAGCATGGCGTGGTATTTGCGATGGTTTTATGGAAACAGCGAATTCGGGGACCATGGTATTTGCGATGCGGTGTTTTCAGACGCCCAGGGCGTCCGCGGCGTACCACGTCTGTACTACAAAAAGTCGACTTTCCAGCCACGGAAGCTCCGCGTGTCCGCGGCGTATTACGTTTTGTACTACAAAAGTCGACTGTCCAGCCACGGAAGCTCCAGGTGTCCCCGGCGTATTTTTCGTCTGTACCACGGAAGCTCCGTGTGTCCGCGGCGTACTACATTTTGCTACAATAAGTCGACTTTTCAGCCACGGAAGCTCCGGGTGTCCCCGGCGTACTGTACGTCTGTACTACAAAAGCCGACTTTCCAGCCACGGAAGCTCCGCGTGTCCGCGGCGTACTACGTTTGTACTACAAAAGTCGACTTTCCAGCCACGGCAGCTCCGGGTGTCCCCGGCGTACTACATTTGTACTACAAAAGTCGACTTTCCAGCCGCGGAAGCTCCGCGTGTCCGCGCCGTACTACGTTTGTGCTACAAGAGTCGACTTTCCCGCCACGGACGCTCCGGATGTCCGCGGCGTACTACTTTTGTACTACCCTATGTCGACTTTCCTGCCACGGAAGCACCGGGCGTCCCGGTGTACTACATTTGTACTAGAAAAGTCGACTTTCTAGCCACAGAAGTCCCCGGCGTACTACGTCTGTGCTACAAACGTCGACAAAAACGCAAAAACACAACGGTTTTGGCACCGCGACGTTACGTTTGTGTGTAAAAAAACGCAAAAACACGACGGTTTTGGCACCGCGCCAACGCCGAAACCCGCAGAGGGTTGACGCGGAAATCAAGAAACGTAAAAAAAACGACGGTTTTAGCGCCGCGACCACGCAGAAACCCGCAGAGGGCCACGCCGAAACACTTCGATGCAAAAATGGCAGTTTTGAGTTGCTTGCTTGGCACATCTCGTGTCGATTGTTTTCTTTGTTTTGTGTATTTTCTCACTAAAAGCTCGTGTCAATTTTTTCCCCAAAAGCATCGCGAAGGGTTCTTCCGTGCGGAGCTCTGACCCAACAACGTAGAGTGAAGTGCACAGAGTGAAGCGCATAGAGAAGTGCATGGAGTCAAGTGCATGGAGTGAAGTGCATAGAGTCAAGCATGGAGTGACGTGCATAGAGTGAAGTGCATAGAGTCAAGTGCATAGAGTGAAGTGCATAGAGGGCATAGAGTGAATTGCATAGAGTGAAGTGCATAGAGTCAAGTGCATAGAGTGAAGTGCATAGAGGGCATAGAGTGAATTGCATAGAGTGAAGTGCATAGAGTGAAGTGTAGAGTGAATTGCATAGAGTGAAGTGCATAGAGTGAAGTGCATAGAGTGAAGTGCAGAGTGAAGTGCATAGAGTGAATTGCATAGAGTGAAGTGGAAGTTTCAAGAAATTAGTAGACCTTCGTACCTTGTCCAAGATTTCTAAATTGAAATTACTCTTTCTAAGGTGGCGGGCTGGGTTGACATCGCGTGGTCGCGGCGCAAAACCGTCGTTTTTTTTACGTTTCTTGATTTGCGCGGACAACCCTCTGCGGACTGCCAAAAATGAGCTCAAAATAATTAGGCGTCAAGGGATTTTCACACTTCGACACAAAAGCAAGCCCACAGGCCTCTTGATCGTCAATGTAATCGCAGTCTCGCTTTCAGCTTCCGCGAGAACTCGCGAGGGTATCCGGTCGACAAGAACCCACGTGTCAGCGCCTTGCAAAAGGGCAAAGTGAACACTGCAGATCTAAGTGGGTGCGTTTTCGGTGCAGAGACCCATTATCATTATGCCTCTTCCATCAAAGGGAGGCGGCAATGATGACATATCAGCGCCTTCTCTGCATTACTGCTTGGCACATCTCGTGTCGATTTCTTTTTCTTGTTTTGTGCATTTTCTCACTGAAAGCTCGTGTCGATTTTTTTCTCATTTTTGCCTACAGAGCCTGTGGTGTCGTCGTGGTGGTGTCGTCGTGGTGGTGTCGTCGTGGTGCTGTCGTCGTGGTGTCGTCGTGGTGGTGTCGTCGTGGCGCTGTCGTCGTGGTGTCGTCGTGGTGGTGTCGTCGTGGTGGTGTCGTCGTGGTGGTGTCGTCGTGGAGGTGTGGTGTCGTCGTGGTGGTGTCGGTCTGGAGGTGTCGGTCTGGAGTTGTCGTAGTGGTGTCGTCGTGGTGGTGTCGTCGTGGTTGTGTCGTCGTTGTGGTGTCCTCGTCGTGGTGTCGTCATCGTGTCGTGGTGTCGTCATCGTGTCGTGGTGTCGTCGTTGGGTGTCGTCGTCGTGGTGTCGTCGTCGTCGTGGCGTGGTCGTCGTGGTGTCGTCGTCGTGGTGTCGTCGTCGTCGTGGCGTGGTCGTGGTGTCGTCGTCGTCGTCGTCGTCGTCGTCGTCGTCGTCGTCGTCGTCGTCGTCGTCGTCGTCGTCGTCGTCGTCGTCGTCGTCGTCGTCGTCGTCGTCGTCGTGGCATCGTCGTCGTGGTGTCGTCGTCGTCGTCGTCGTCGTCGTCGTCGTCGTCGTGGCATCGTCGTCGTGGTCGTCGTCGTCGTCGTCGTCGTCGTCGTCGTCGTCGTCGTCGTCGTCGTCGTCGTCGTCGTCGTCGTCGTCGCAACGCGACAGCTACAGACTACAGACAAGGAGAACGTGTTTCGCACCCCCGCGCCCCGTTTTCAACAATTTGCATTTGGCGCGAACCGACGTGCGTTGTAGTGTGTTAGCACCACTTGCGGCACCTACAGTTCCCCGAGCCAAAGCAGTCGTCAATGCCAGAGCAATGAGGCAAGCATGTCGTGTGTTTTTGGTGCGTTTCGCTGCGGGTGTAGCTGTCGTGGCAAAGCCAGCCAACTTGAACATTTCTCAGATGTGCGACGCTGGGTCTTGGGAAGCTTTGGGAGGCATGAACAGTTTGAAACATGAAGTTGCTGCAAGTTATTGCTCCCTTTGGGTTTACGATCCAGCTTGCCATTGTTCGAGCATGGCTGAGCGATTTTCCAAACATGGACGGGCCATCAATTGTAAGCTTTGAGGTGTTAATTGTTTCATTGCATTTTTGAAATGCACGGGTGGGTAGATTTTCAGCGCTGAGATGCGGCATCTTTCCCGATGGCCGTTGGCTTCTTGGCAAGCACTTGGAGTTTGCTCCTGCAGTTTCATCGACCGTGCAAAAAGGTGCTTTCAGGTGTTTTCACATTCAAAGGCCCAGGATTTTGCCCAGACTGTTTTGTTTGTCCCACATGTCTGCAAACCTTCTGGTGTTGAAGCTGTTGCCTTGAAAAGACCCAAACATGAAGGCGATTGTATTTATTGTGCCCTGCCAAGGTTGCCGGGCCGACCCTTAGGCATCGGGACCCCCAAACCCAGATTGTTCGGTCTGGTCCCAGCGGGGGGGGGTGGGGGGGAAGGGTGGGCCACTGGCTGTGGGTTGGGGGCAAGGGTTGAGAAGGGGAGACCAGATCTTGGTCTGCTTATGTCTGCTTTTTCCACACGGCTTTCGGTTGAGCCGAGGCGAGTTTTGTATTTTGTGTTGCGCGGAAGGTGCTCGTCTTGTTGTTTAAGAACGTGTCGGTTCCGAGACTTCCGCAAGCCTGTCCTCTGGTTAGGTCTTGTTTTGGATCGGCGGCGTTCTGGCATCGTGTCCTTCTGGAAAATGCCCAGCTGCACCAGACTCCAAGGACACAGTACGGATAGGGTTGGCATGGAAAGTAGCTTGGGTGACGCAACCCTTGGGGCCAATGTTTGTGCAGTCCTGTGGTCCTGTGCTGTTCCTGTTGTTGGGGCCGCGAATTTTGTCCCTCTTTTTGGGAAGGGTCTCTGCCAGGATGCCGAGCCCAGCTTGCTCCAGGTCCACCATGAAGAGAAGCAGCTCGGAGCTCGGCAAGTTCGGCACAGGGCTTCGATCTCCAAATTCCCCAGAGCACCACAAGGTCCCGTATTGGAAGTAGGATCTTTGCTTGGCACCTTCGAGATTTTCACCTTGGATCCACTTCCTTCAATGATGCAAGGAGCCGGCAACTCAACCCTGTCAGTTGTGTCAAATTGCTTTTGCCACACACCCTACAATTATCTCCAGAAACAAGCCCGCCCGAAAAGCCTCAAAATGTCGAAAGTTGCCGTTGTTGGTAGCATCCTTACGCTTCCTTACTCTCTTCGCGAGCATGAAACAGACCCGAGGTGCACCTCAGAGGGGCAGGATCCATGGGCCAGTGGCTCGCGCGTGGCTCTTCGAAGGAAAAGACATCAAAAAGAAGAAGGAAAGAGACCATATTTGCTCAGGGCATTGTTTCTAAGGATGTGGTATGACAATCTTGTTGCAAGTTCTGAAGGAAACGCGTATCGAAAAATAGCCTTCTTGGCTTTCACGCCGACCGAACATGAACCGTAAGGTGGACTGCTGCGCTGGCCTGGACATATGTTTCGGGGAGCATGACAAAGGATGGAGCTACCGCTGCTCGAAAACGTGCTGCTTGGTGCGAGCACAAGGTAAAGGTTCCAGTCTATTTAGAAGGCCTTAGAGGGTGCATGCAGTTTGTTTATTTACAAGCACAAGAAAGGGCAGATGAGGGCAGCATGATGAGGGCAGCATGGGTAGGATCCGTGATTCAGTTGCCCGTAGAGGGGACAGAACCGCAAATCTAAGTGAGTACATGAAGCCCTTTGTGGTGAAGTGTAGCTTGTTTGCAAAGGTTTGAAAAGTGGTCATTGCAGGCTGCGTGCAAGACCCAGTTCGTTTTTGTGTGCGTGTTTCTTTTTAGCATCACTTAGAGGCCATCTTCATCTTTCCGCAAAGGAGGATAACCTCGGCTTGAGGCATCCAAGAACCACAGAACGTGGGAAGCAATAGCTCAGGGCAAAGCTCTGGGGTTGCGAGGCGCCGGCGGCAACACCCCTTGCACACCGGATGGACAGGATCCCTTTCAGACATCCAGCCTGGTGCTCCCCTGGCATTCATTTCCGGGTCTCACAGGGTGTCACTGATTTCCGCCTTTTAACAGGGCTCGCAAGGGGCACTCTGGGTTTTGGGGCTTGGGGCACCGCGGTGTGATGGTGTGTGAAGAGCAGGGAGCATCAGGGAGCCGTGCCGCAGTATGCTGCAGTGTTTTACCCAGGTCGAGTGCTGCTCTGGGTTGGAGATGTGCTTGGGTCAGTCGGACAGCAGTGAAGCAATGAGCTATCGCTGCCTGGACCACTGTTGCTGGTCAGCAGGAGCCCCGCAGTTCAACGCGAATTTAGCGCCAAAAGCTTAAGCCAACGCCACCTTAGCCACAAAGGTAGCATGCTGCCTATGAGTCTACTCTGCTCGGCGTAGCCCCTCGATTTTAGGAACGGGTCTTTGTGTCAGCTTTTGGATGCTTCCCGACCCTCAAATGCTTGAAAGGACATTCACAGAGCCAAATGTCTTGGCACCCCCATGAACCATTGGGATGTTGGCATGCATTATTGTCAATTGGAATTTTGGAGAACTTCGAACTCCTACGCGAGTCGCGCTCCAGCAACTGACCTTGCTCGGTTTCTTAGATGCTGTCGGGGACCCCCCAGAACCGCAGCATAGACCTCAACTTTCTGAATCTTTGTGGAAGAGCAGAGGTTTGTCTTGGGGCTCAGTTGTGATCAGGGTCGCTTAGGTCCATCAACCTGCACGATGAAGGGCGACAACGTTTATCAAAGTGGCTTGGGCGCAAGGACCCAACATTCCAAACCCGCAGCCATACTGCAAATCTTCAACGCTGAGCATTGTGTCTGCACACGGGTCACCCCTCCAATTCATCCCATTCTCATTTATTGTTAAGCTGTGCAAGCTTGAGAAAATCAAGGTTTTTCAGAGAAGCAAATAGGCGAGAATCGCGGTTTTTCATGGTCACATATGAAGCAGAGAGAGGTTTTCCTTATAAACACACACACACACACAGAAAACAGACCGTTTTTGAAGAGATGCTAACACATGTGCGCCCTGCAAGCTTCAACCCTTGCGTGCCTAGCTGGACAACATGTTCCTTGCTGCTCCGGCCTCCAAGAATGTTCTGGTGACACTTGGTATCAATATCCAAGTTGTCATGTTCCTTGCGCGGTTTTATTGAATGGCAGTCCTGTACACCGTAGAGCTTGCTGCTGGCTGCATGTCCAGTCCAATTACTAGGAAAGAGTGTCATGCTCAACAATGCGCAATTTGGAACGATAGTGAACTCTAAGGACTGGAACATGTGGCTTGGTTGGCAGGGGTTGGCAAGGGCTGGCAGATGCAGTGTGCAGGGCTGTTTTGCCTCCGCAGGAACGTGCACCCTGTTCGGGAGATTCAAGCAGTTAGTGGAAGTTGTACGATATCTTTGCATTGGGATGACGGTGGCCCCCATGAAGCCCCACATCAAGCTTACTTGCCTGCGTTAAATTTGGCATTTTAGGGCCACTGAAGCCTGAGCAAAATCTTTCCACTAAGGGATGGCCAGTGGTCGCACAGGCCTCATTGTAGGGACAGTCGGAGTTCACGGTTGACACACAACCACATTTTCCATGTTCAGAAACTGGTGCCTCAGAGCCCTGTTCTAGCTTGCTTTCAAGGCTTCTACCATTGCATGCTCCACAAATCTCCACAATGCTGCACGTGTTACAGGGTTTCGTGTGGTTCCTGTGAATAGTGGGGTGATTTCGATGTGGGAAGGAATGTTCATAGAAGTCACGACTCCGCCATTCTGTTCTCTCCTTGCGAGTCGCGATTGTGCGTTCGATGGTGTGGGTCTTGTTTTCAACAGTTTTGGGATAATCCCTCCCCGAATGCTTCTTGACGTTGCCCGGATCACGTCCTGTTGTAGTCAAATCCTTCTAGGGCCATGTTAAGGGTGTCGGTGTCGCGAGGGTGGACGAGAACATCCTGGCATGCAGAGTATGAGCAGCCACTAGGCCTTCCAATCTGTCGCCTTCAAGCCCGAGACTCAAGCGCGACGCCCTCGACAGTCAAACCCCCAATGAAGGAGGGGTTAAGGAGGGGTTCTGGTGGTTGCGGTTTTGGTTTTTCATCTTGAAAATGCATCTTTTTGAGGTTTGTTTGATGTTTTTCCTTGTTTTCCAGCTCAGGTTCGTTTGTTAGGTCTTTGCACGATCTCAGGTACAACTGCAGTGGTCTGCAGTGGTCTAAGAAAAACAGTTGAAGCGGCCTGGGTACATCCAGCATACATTTGGGTGGGTATTGTGCATGTGCGATATATTGCGATATCATGTGCATGCATTGCAATGCACGGCTGGGGATGTGGGGAAGATCCCTGCGTGCCAAACCATCCAAGACCACTAAGTCGACCCCATCTTACACTGATCCCTGCGAGGTGCTTTGCCAAATGTTGGATGGGTGAATACCACCCACATTTTGACACCACACCCGACTATCTTGACATTGCAGCCAGCGCACGAGGGGTGCGGGGTGGCGCAGCTGCTTCAGTGCTTTTTTTGAGGGCACCATTTTCAGGAACGTAGGCGAGGTCATCAAACTTTTCCCGTCATCTTCATCTTTGTTTCAGTTTTTCTTGGTTTGTTGGTTTCATTGAAGAAAATTGTGGTGTTAAGACATGCTGCACGTCATCAACCACGTCATAAACCATGCAGGGAGCTTGGCAAGTATGGCGCTGCCATATGAAGCTTTTCACTGATGCCGGCCCGTCCGTTTTTCTTCTTGTGTGTTGTGGTAATGGTACAGAAGCTGCTGCTACCAAGAAACAGCCCAGCTGGTGCCTAAATGACTTTGCTCCTCATTTTTCGGTGGTAGATGCCTCGCCTTGATCACCGTCAGCATCGCGACATGAGGCAATGATGGTGAGTTGTCCGACAATTACTACTTAGTCATTGGTGACAATGGTGGCTGCGCTGGCGGCTGTGATGGTTGCTGTGGCTGGCAGCTCCTCGTCTGAATCTCCGCCTCTGATGCACTGCCCTCGCTAAGATATCCGACCTTGAACCAGGCACGCTCGAGACATGTTACCTAAAATTATGTATAGTACCTGGGAGTGCTGAGTCTGCCTTGTTGACAAACTGCACGGCGAGGTGGCAGGTCGCCGACCAGATGAAGAAGTATGTGCAAGACCGGAAGGCTGCGAACCCCAAGCCGCTGGGGTGCCTTAGGTGAGGTTTGACGGTGTGTCTTGGCTTTCTTTGTTTTGTTGGGGTTCGGGGTTGGGAGATGGTCTTTAAGGTCGGGCTGGTGGCGTTTCGGAACTGTGCACCGGAACGGCAAGTGAGCTCGAGGTCCACACTGCTCTTCATCTTGCTCGTGGGCGACAACTTCTACTGGAACCGGGTTGGCACATCATGGCACATCGTCCAGGGCCGCAGCTTAGGTTCTCGCAAAAGGGCTTGAAAACAGGTCCGTTGCGAGCTCTCGTGCTTCAGTGCCACAGGGCCCCCAACAAAAAGTCTTGGAGGCGCTAAATTGTTGACTCCCAGGCTTAAAGAAGGCTTCGAAGCCCCAGTAGTCGCAACAAAACATAACAAAACCTCAGTTTTGGCAAGCTCAGGGCAGCAACTTAGAGCCGTCGGCGCGCCAAGGACCGGAGCCAGTCCGGGGCGATTCGAGGACACGCGCCCAGGCGGCAGCAACGGGGACACGGGGCCACGAGACCACGAGGGCGGTCGTGAGTTTTGGGCGGGTAACGAGTTTGTCTGGCCAGTTCCTCAGAACATCAGGACATTGGAACGAACTTGGTCTCGGGCCTTAGGCGAGGATTCGGTGATATTTAGAGTACAGGAATTGGCTCTTTGGGGCTTCAGGCAAAGTTTGGGGATCGAGCATGCCTTTCGTCGTCCGTGAAAGACTCTGAATCGTGAGTTCCTTGCTACAGCCAAATCGTGCACCGTGCTTTGCGAAAGAAAAGGTTGAACCCAAGGCCTGCCCAGAGTGTGGGCCATGATTCAAGATGCTCAAGCCAAGGTGGAAGTCGGTGTACGGGGAGCTGGCGGACTACCCATGGTTCGCGATCCTCGGCAACCACGACTTCGGCAACGACGATCCCGACTGCCTGTGCCCCTTCTTCCATGAGAGGCACCACACAACGGCCCCGAATCCCTGAGAACCTCAAGTGTATGCAGCACCTTGATGTTTCTGCTGGAGCTTTCCGAGGTTTTGTTGCTTTTTGAGGGGACGAGACACAGCAAGTGCGTGTGTTGAAAGCACCTTTGTGGTTCCTCAAGAGGGCCAACTGTCAAGGGACCGGGAAGGGGGAAGTTTTGAGGCTAGTGTTTTAGTTCAGGCTACAGCGGGGCTATAGGGCTTGAGCTTCTGCCTCAGGGAGCGGTGTACAGCCGCCCACAACACTGCTGCTGGCTGTGGCGGCGCGAAACCGTACTCCACAGCAAACCAGTCGCGCCTTGGAGAATTTCGCTCGGAGCGAAATCCCAGGAAGCCTCAAGAAGTTTACCAAACCGTAAGACCCGACGCCTTGGTGGCACTTGTGAGCGCTTGTCAACACACTGTGAGGCCGTGAGGCCTCAAGAATTGGGGGTACAGAGGTGAATCGAGGTGACATAGCTTGACATAGAAGGGCTTGGTGGGTCTTTAAAGATGGAGTTGAAGTGTGCTGCTGGCAATATTTTTTGGGTCGAAGCTTGGGGCCTAGGGGGGCCCATCTTCTCTCCAGAGACCCCTTACGGAGGTATGCTTGCAACCAGCTCAATGCCGACAAGGGCGGCGTTGATGGAGACCTGCGCAGGAACGGGTTGAGGGGTATGGTTTGGGGCGTCAGAAACTTCAGGGGTCTCCGGTCCGCGGCAAGCTACGAGTAATTCGCAGCTGCCTGAGCTTCGGTGTTCCTTCCGTGTTACTCAGGGCCTTGGTGTTCGGGGTCACCGATGCGTGCCGGAATTGCAGCGCGCTCGAGTGTCGCCAGGAACTTCCACTTGCCCGACTTCACTTACTTCTACACCATCCCGGAGCTGGACTTCGAGTTGATCAGTCGGCAGACTTGCGTTTGTCGTGGCAGGATGCTATAGGGCATGATGCTATAGGGCATGATGCTATGGCATGATGTTATGGCATGAGTCGGCTTCTTCGGGCCTGGGGCGGCCTTGCAGTTTGGAGATTCAGAGGTTTTGCTTTCAGACGGGCATGCCTCCTTCCGGGGAAAATCACCTGAACACCTCAAACTCTCGGTGGAGAGTCCTGCCTTCAACCCCTGCCTATGCAGTGCTAGGCACTACGCAGATTTTTAGGGCTCGCCCTAAACCTAATCCCAAGACTCCAAAGGTATGGATTACAACTGGTACGATCGCCACGGGATCGGTGGCAACGGCTATGGCACCTTGATAGCATGGCGTGCATCCCAAGAGATGCTGACATTGCCTACATTTGGATTCCCAGGGTCTTGGGGACTATTTTGGGTATTCAGGGGTGAAGCCATTTTAGCTCTCTCCTTAAAAGGAGGCAGAGAGAGGTGCGGCTGCGCGGTTTTTGTGGAATCGGCGGAAACGCGCGTGCGTACGTATGTGCAGCTGCCGCCAGGCATGCACTTCAAGTGCATTAGAGAAGGTGTCGCTTGGAGCCAGAATCCGAGAACTGTATCCCTGTTCTCCCTGGGCAGCGTGGCGTGTCAGCTGCAGGTCGACGAAAATGCCCTTGGGGCCAAACCGGATACGGTAAGTCCAGCATTGCCGTCGCATCAAAGGAATCAAATGCCTCAAGGGCTAGCTTCGACACATTTCGACACAGTGCAAGGATGCGCGGAGGAACCTTCAAAGCGGTTTGCAAGCCCCGATCAGCAGAGCTGCGTTCCAGGGATGGACATGTTTACAGATCAACAGGCCCACACGTGCCCGAAAAGCCTCGAAGCCCGGGAAGTTGTCCTACCCCGGTCTACAACATGTACGAACCCTGGAAGCTGAAGGACCGTCTGGCGGCGGCCGTGGCGTGGCCAAGTCCTGTGGTGGGGTGGAGCGTGTGGAGGCACCACAATGGGTCGTGGACGTGTGTGAGCAGCATGATGCAGCCTGTGAATAGCATGTGAGGATCTGGGGCAGAAGGGTTTCATGGGAGGTGAGGGGGATGCATTGGCCACACATCCCGTGGAAGTTTCTGAACCCAGGGCCCAAACGCTTGGATTTCGGAGAGATCATTTTGTGGGTTCTGCGGGTGAAGATCCGGGGTTTGGGCTTTGGCACTGGACGCACTGGGCATGGCCCACATGGCCCTCATGGCCCTGTCCCCATGAGAAGTTGTCTGTGGCGTGAATCTGTGTATGGAACCCCAGACGCTGTTCAGGGTTGCGGGGGATTGTCGGCTTGAGTGAGGACGTTCGGAGACATCCGTTTTTGATGTTGTGTAGCTGCCCGAGCTGTTTGGGGGAGGACAGCCTGGCACGAATCCGCGACGCCTCGAACAAGGCCAGCTTCGAGTTGCAGACTGTGGTGGGCCCCCAGACTCCCACAGGCATGCCGATCAAAGCATGTTTTGCGGCAAGTTGTGTTGAGTAAATGACTCCAACATTGGGGAGACCTCGGGATGGAGGAGCGTAAAGGACGGTGTTAACTCGCAGGCATTCAATACCACAACGGTCCTTTTTGATCCTTGTTGAAGAAGTGAGATTTTCACGCACAACCGGAGGCCTCAAGAATCGCATTAATTGGAAAAAGACCCAGACTCAACTCCCTGAACTCCCTGAACCAATGGACCCGGAAACCTGGATCCTGAAATCCTTACCGTTCCCGACCCTCCAGCGCCTGTGCGCAGCTCTTCAACGAGAGGGCCAAGGCCTAGCTTGCGCTCTCTCGGCGTGGGGTTGGGGCAGATTCGGGGGAGCGGATTCGGGAGCGGATTCGGGAGCGGATTCAAGAGCGGATTCAAGAGCGGATTTGGCTCTCTCTGCATGTTTTCTCAAACCTTGGGTTTGTTTTTGTGGCTTTCTGTGTGGTTTCGGGCATTCCGTGTCCAGCCTGGAGTCTTGGCATGTCTTGGCACGTCTTGGCATGTCTTGGCTCTTCCCTCAGTGTTTCTTTGATTTTCTTTGTCATTAGTTTGGAGGCCCACTCCATTACAAGTCTCAGGCACTTCTGGGCCCCCCAAACCTCCCTAAAGGCCGCGAGCGCAACAAACTACGCCATCATTAACCACTACCCGGACTGGGCGCAGGAAGGCGCTGCGTGGTGGCTTGGGGTCTTCTCGCCTCGGAGCTCCCCCCCCAAGAATTTCCCCCCATATGGGTGGTACCACCGAGGGTCTTGGCGGGTTTATTTGGTCAGGTTGACGAAGGGTGCTGAACCCTCATTCTTCCCGAGCGGTTTTGCCCCGCAGGTATCAACCTGCGACACAACTTCTTGCAAGGGATGCATCAAGAACAGGATGCCTGGCTGCACCTGTCCGCCTTTGTCCGCCCAACCCAGCAAGCTTAACAAGCTTGATGCGTCTCAAAATGTCTCAAAGGATTGTGCTGGAGAAAACAATAGAGTCGGTTGCATCAATGACATAAGCGCCAAAGCTCTAAAGGCGCCGCTTGCGAAGCTAAAGTACTTGGGCATGTCTTGGCATACCAGACATGCATAGGCATACCGTATCCCAGCAAACGCTTAACAAGCGCTTGACACACATTGGGGTGAAGGCGGCGAAGAAGCGCGTGCTGAATTTTTACGGCCACACGCACATCCAGCAGTGCGCGGCTTGGCTTGCCGCCCAATGGTATGGCTCCACGCGTCGCAAGTTGTTACCAGGCTGTCAGGCTATCAGCTCTTGCTTTCTCTTCCGTTTCTTCGTGTGCCATCTCTTGCTTTTTCTTGCTGTTGTGAGCTAGAGTTCAAGAACTTCAGGGAGAGGTCCCACAGATGTGTACGGGATCTTAAGTCAGGTCCCAAGTTCCCGCAAGGCTAGTTGGGCGCCGGGGCTTCCGGGTCTACACAAGCCATTGCAAGCCATGACAGCCCTGACAAGCCCTGAAAGCCGAAGAACTGTCGAGGCTCCGAGAGGGTTCAACATGATTCAACTCAAACACCCCCTGCAAATGCGAGAAGCCTTGAAGTCCACAACTTGCCTTGGAGCTTCTGGTCCTAATCCAGCCCCAAAACCCTGTAACTTATCAGCCACACTTACCAAGGACAACAGTGGTGATAAGGAGGACCCCAGCCTCTGCACCGACATCCTCACGGGGGGTGCGGGGGGACGCCCGGCTCTTCGTGGCATAGGGTTGGGATTTCTGAGTTTTGGGGTTTCTGAGAACCCGAGGCCTTAAAGCGTGAGCTCCCAAGCGCCGTGCCGGGTCTTGCAACGTTTCGCACATTGTCGCACATTGTCGCACACTGTCGCAGATATCTGGACCTTTGGAGCCAAAGATGCAAGGCTGCTGTGGGGATTTGCCTGCCGGCTTTGTTGCCGTGACCTGGGGCAGCGACGGCAAAATGACCAATGAGTGCTACACGGACGCACAGCAGCAGGCCCCTTTTGAGAGGAGTTGTTTATAGTTGTTTGAGGAGGCTTCATAGGATTTGGGGGCAGGGGGGGAGAGGGGCATCGAAGGCCTGGAAACCGAAAAGCCCTAAAATCCCTCCCTTAATCCCTAGCTTCATACCGCGGACCTGTCGGCTCAAGCGCCGCCGACGCAGTGTTCTTTTCGACTCCCCGCCGAACTACAGGACCCACAGAGGGCGATGCCGTCGCAGACCATGGAGCTGGACAGGATGCGACGCGATTTAGATTTGCAAAAACCAACCCTTGCGAGTGGTTCTTGTGGGTTTCGAGTGCTTTGACGTGTTACCAGGAGCTGGAAGGTAAAACGGAACTGCCTGAGATTAAGACCCAAGCGCCGCCCATCATCCAAGAGTTTCTGAGAAAGACCCTCGAGCCACGGCTAACTCTCCTCCTAACACGAGGTCAGGGACGCGCTAGCTCGCGGTCTGGCAGAGCGGGCGCACCACCTGGCTACAATCACGGTTGGTCGCCTGAAGCAGGACTTGGCGAGGGGAAGGGTAGGGCAAGGGCAAGACAGGACAAGGCAAAGAGCGGTCGGGTCGCGGAGGGGCTCGGGAAGGGCTGCCCGGAGCCGTACACCGGCGCTGCGCGAACCAGCCAACGAAGCTGCCGCCGCTGACGCCAAATTTAAGGCCTTCCAGAACGACCTATATGGGCAGTGGCGTGAGTTCACCGCGGCCGCTATCCCCATAATCCAAGCCACTGCGTGACTCCCTTGGAGACGCGCTTTGCCAGCCGTGCCTGGGCCCGGCCGCAGCCCAGGTGGTCGCCAGGATGACGGAGGCGCTAGTGGCGAGCTTTGGGGGGCCAAGTGGAGGGGGTTCTACACTACAGGAGGTGAGTCCCTGCAGTTCAATATCGTCGTGGGAGAATTGTGGCAGAGGAGGTCGGACTTCCTCGTTCGACTTGCAGCAGTCACGCGGGTAGTCTCGTTTCGCACCTCTTGCTACGATCGCAGGCCCAATGCTGCAGGTGACTTCTGCTTTGTTTTTCTACGTGCTTCGTCATCTTGCTTGGAATTTATGCATAGAACCTACGGACCAACGTAGTTGTCCCACATGGTGCGCTTGACCGAAGAAAAAACTCCCCAGAAGAGTCAAAATCACCATAGCGTATCGTCCCAGAGCGTTCCTCAAACGAACAAGAAGTACAATAAGAACGAAAAGGGCGTAACTCCTGGAGAACCTGTGAAGAAAAGCGACTAAGCTATCAACCCAGAAACTTCTATGCAAAGCTTCGACCGCCTTGCCGGTGGCAATAACTTCACTCTGAATCCCTTATCCCCTGACAGGGAGGTGCAGCTGGCTCTTTTGCTCATGGTGACGCCCTGGATGAGGACACTGACAAGTCTGCGTGTGTGTACAAGGAGGTTGTCTTAAAGTGCAGCACACAACTACAGCCACAGTCATGTTGTTCAGTGTGCTGTTGGTTTGGCGTACTTACGAGACAGTGATGATGTAGTTCCTTTTTAGTCCACGTCGCTTCACTTCGCGTTCGCCATGTCGGACGCCCTCACCGATCGCGTCGCCAAGCTCGAAGACATCGTCGGACTGGTCGGGAGTCACCCGCGCACGATGGACTGGTATGGCCTCATGGGAGTCTCGCGTCCAAGACCTGCTCGCGAAGAAAGAGCCTCTCTGGAAATTGAAGGCCGAACTGTACGATCTCGCTATTACAGACCTGGACCCTGTTCTTGCAACGATGCAAGACATGGGTAACAGAGCTTCGGGAGTGCCTGTCTGCGGTGGAAGACATCGTGGGGATATTCAATGTGGGGGCCTGGGGACACCATACAGCGGTGGACCTGCGTTTTCGGCCGTCTATGACGGCCCTCCGCGTGTCGCAACTCGTGCGCCGCCATTTGAGGGCTTTGACTCACTTTGACGGCAGCCCGGTGAAGGTTTGGGTCCCGCTGTCCCAGGGGGAGATGTCGCGCAAGGGGAGGCCAAGGGCAAGGGCCGCGGTGGGCGGAAGGAACCTGGGCGGGCTCCGCGCCCTGCCTGAATGCCCAAGCCATATTTTCCTCGACAGAAACATTCGCGGCACGGCAAAAGGCAAGGGCAAGGGTAAAGGTAAGGCAAGGGCAAGGACAAGGGAAGGGGGAAGGGAAGGCCCCGGGCAGGGGATGCAGAGGTGAAGGAAGAGGACGTGGTAGGGGCGAAGAGTGAGTGCCGGTGGATAGGGTCGCGCCCCGAGGGGGCGTTTTTAATTGACTCGCCGAATTAACTTTCGCTTGCTTCAGTTCACCCGTGTTTATCTTGTCGCACTTGTGAAATGTCCCGTTCGGCGAATCAAACAGTTTTCCAGACAGCCTCTCCCACTTTTTCCGACGCCGGGTTCCACGACCTACTCCCTTCACAGTGTCGACATGTTCATATCTAGGTACGCCCACACCTGCTGCAAGCGCAGCCGCATTCACGTATGCGTGTGTACATACTGTTAACTGCCTTTCACCATGCTTTTTTTGGAACTTACCACGCAAGTTGGCTTTGGTTGGCGTTAGTTTGTGTTTTTTGCTAGAAACTTTGCATTTTGTGGTTTCATGTTTTCGCTGTTCGATTGATGAAAAATACCAGAAACTCGTTTCCTGTACACTATGATTTCGTATGCAAGTAATAGTGGCATTGTTAGTCACAACAAACGACTGTTTGAAATTGTGATCATTGGTATGTTATTTTGCTTGTTTATTGAGTAAATCGTTTTCTTCTTTTTTCTTACGGTAGTGATCGTATGCTGTGTAAAAAACATTTCAACGATTAGATTTTTGCAAAACATCTTTGTTCCAGGAATGGAATTTGGCTTCGAGCGGCAGTCGATTCAATCGCAAGCCTTTCAACACCGTTGCAAAATCTGAAACGGCGGTGGTACGGTCCGAATTTCTTTTCCCACACTTTGATTTTTTTGAATTAGCATTAAAAAGTGCTCATAAAGTGGAGTTTGTGGAAGATATGTAATGGAAAACCGTTCCTTGAAAACCCAAAATGTGAGTTTTAGTTTTTGGTCCAAAACAAAAGGGTAGATGATGTCTACGAAGAAGTTTGGCTTCCTTACTACCGTCAATACTTTGTCGTATTCGCTTCTATTTAAGACAAAAAAGCTGCAGCTGCAAAAACAACTACCTTTTTTTTGATTTAAGGCAAAACAAGCACCCACCTAAACTTAAGTCCTTTAGGCATTTCTTTGGCCAGCTGTGAAACTTCACTTTTCGGTACAGCTGACAAGAAACCAGAAAAAGCGTATTCGGTGAACAAAAACCAAAACTTGAGCTCATAGAACAAGAGTTAAAAACAAATCGTGTGTTTTTTGATCGAAAATCAAAAGCACTAACACAGATTACGTAAACAGTCCCTTCAGAGCCCTATCCTTGCTAGTACGACGTGTGAGTTGGCCCGGTGCTTCCTCATGGCGGCGCTGCTATGGGCCTACTACAGCAGCAGCAGCAGCAGCAGCAGCAGCAGCAGCAGCAGCAGCAGCAGCAGCAGCAGCAGCAGCAGCAGCAGCAGCAGCAGCAGCAGCAGCAGCAGCAGCAGCAGCAGCAGCAGCAGCAGCAGCAGCAGCGGCCCTAAATTGACCTCGAAAACCCTCTGAGCCTTAAACCCTAAACCCTATAACGGAAGCCCTAATGGCTCAACTCAAGGGCGGGGGCCCTCAACCCCCCAACTCTCAAGACTAGGGTGGGGACTACTATTCGGGGCAAGGGGGTGTACAGACCCGAGAGGGTGCGTGCTCTCTTTTCCGAGTCTCAGCATGTCCTACCCCCCGCAACGTAGTACGTCAATAGGAGGAGTCGGCCCGATGCCTGACCCTCGGATGGCGTCCAAGGGTCAGCAGCTGCAGCAGCAGATTCTCGCGTAGGGACGTTTGGGCCGACGTAAGCGCTTGGTGCTGTTCCCCTCAAAGTCCTTTGAGAGGCGTTCTCATTCTGCTCAGGCTTCCTGGAGAGCCCTTGCACCATCCGCCAGTGGAGCCTCCTCCAGGACGGGAATTGGGAGGTGTAGGTGTTGTGTTGTAGTTGTAAACCGGCGAGGATTTGGGGATCGCTCGTGCCCTCTGAAAAATACAAAAGAACCCCGAGCGCCTTTTGGTTTTTGTCTCACGGACCTTGGCCATGCCTTCGGGGTCTCCAAGTTAAGTTCTAGAGGTTCTGTGGAGGTCCACGGAGTTTATGAGCACCCAGCATTGAAAGAAGACAGCCCCTCAGAGATGCTAGCCATCAAAAGACCGGATCCCTGGAGCTCAGGATCTAAGCGTTCTGAATATTTTTGAGTCTCCGCCCTAATTCAACCGTGTTGTCTGGTCTCTGAACCCCCTTGGCGCCCCTTTGGCCTCAAAGGAGAATGCGACACGATCTGCCAAGCCGGATGTCCGCGCCGAAAGCGCGCAGGAGGCGAGTCCGGCAATTGGTGTGCTTGGGGCCTTTCGACATTTAACGTTTTCCTCATGACAGAGAAGCTTCCAAGCCCGAATCCATGGCGATTTCGTGTTGTGTGCTAACAGCAATCGCAGCGGTTCAGCGCCAGTGGTCTTCTTGGCATGCTTGGGCCATTTCAGGACTTGGCCCCGCCTTTCCCCACCGGTGCATTGAATAGCCTGCGTTGCGCTACACCAAGCTGACAAACACTGCCGAGGTCTGCCACAACACCGTGGATGACCCAAGGTGTCCGGAATACGCCGGTCCCTTGAAGCTGTAGTGTTTAGGTCTGGGGTATGGGGTGAGCAACAAGTGAGTACTCATGTGACGTCCGGCTCAGCCAGAAGTGCCATTGCTGCAGGCGTCAAACTTGCAAACCGCAAAACCAAAGCTTTGATTCCATGTGACATGAATGTATATATACATAATATGTATATATATACATATAATGTATATATAATATGTCGATACATCAGTAAAGACGTAACCCGCGCCGACTGAGACACATGTACATGAATGTTACTTCGAGTGGCATCGTGGTGTCAGCAATCGCTCGAGTCTTCGACAACTACGGCTTATGCGTTCAAGCTCCCTGGCTGTTGTCGGCATCTGTATCTAATCATTCTCATCGCGTTTTGCTTCCCTGCAAGCCCGGACATCCCATCACATAAAGAAGAAAGACCCGAGCAGACCCGAGCAGACCCCGAACAGACCCCGAGAAGTCCCCAAAGAGCGACATTGGCCCCTCGAGCAGTGTGGGCATTTTCAACTTCGGACCCGGCGCTCTCGAAGAGTTCTCGCAGGGTTTCGGGTTAGCGCACAGTAGGGCGATCGCTCAGCTGGTGACTCGCAAAGGGGCGCTGGCGACCAAGCGGTTTCTCGTGTGCGCCGGGGTAAAAGTGGATCGATGGTTTGATGACCATGCTAATAAGTGTGAGTGGCTTCATGATATTTCATGATAGGTTTAGTTTGACTTAGTCTTCCCCAGTTGTTCCCAGGTCCAAGGGCTCCCATTCTGAAGGTATCCTCGCACTAATTTTTCACAGGGCTGCGCTGTTTAACGGTTGGGAATAGTTCTGTCATAAGCCTTAAGCCCTTTCCTAGACGAAGCGACGCAGGAATGTCTGTGAAATGGTGCGCCTTCTCATCTCGCTACAGGCGAATTGTACCTCTCATCCCCCTGCCTGCCCCTGAGCTCCGCATGCTGTTTTCCGAACTTTGGTACTGGGAGTTTGCCCAAGGATGTGCGGAGCGACCGCCCGCATCAGCAATCTGCTTCATGAGACCCTGAAGGGCACCTTAAAGCGTCCTGAAAACGACGTACCTTCAAACTTGACACTCTGACGCCAAAATTCAGAATGCAAAAAGCAAGACCCTCCAAGTGTAGTGCCAGCTTTCAGGGGTTTTTGTTTGATCGGTTTACTGGCAAGAAGCACGGTTGGAATCTCGGAAGACCTTAAAGCCCAGACCCCAGCATTCCACAGTCCACCTAGCACACGCTTTTCCCGCAAGCAATCTGAGATGTGCCTTGCGCCTAAGCCATGACAGAGCCTGGCCCCAAGCAGGGAGGAAGGGGGAATGGGGCGTGGGGGCTCGGTGGGGGTTATTTGTTCGACAAGCACGGATTCATGATGTGCGGATACCAAGTCCGTTCCAACCCTGACTTTTTGCCAAAGCGCCGCCTTGCGCAGCTTCTGCGTTATCAGCATGGGATCCGCACCACCCAAACTCCCTCACAGTTGAGCCAGCTGCAGATGCAACGACGTTGCAGGTACCAAAAATAATAGTTGAGAGAGCGGTACAGAGTGGAAAACTCCCTCAGAGCTCAGGAAGGAGCCGACGGAGCTGGTGAGCTGTGGCCGCTGCAACTCTGTGAACTCCGCGCCTCGGCTCAGAACACTGCCGGTCGTTGGGCAATGGGCGAGAGCCTTGTTCTTAAAGGAGAGCTGAGATGCACGGGGGGGAAGCGGTCTTGTGCTCCCCCACTCTCCCACTGCCAGTTAGGTGCCTTTCGGCTTGGACCGCTTCCAGTGCTACAGCTGCGGCGTCTCGGTGCCCTGGGGCTTCTTTCGCTTCAGAGCCCTCAACACACGGTCTCCACAACGTCAAGCATGTCTGAAGATCATCCGAAGTGGGCGTTTGCATGACAAGGTCACCCGGAAGCTTGTGGTGTAGTGTATGTGTTGGTAGGGTATTCCTACCGTTTACTGTTTTGAGAGGCATAGGGGCCGTGGAAGCTGCACGCGAAAACAGGTTCTCAACCCCACGACCCTTGATAAAGCTCAAAACTGCGAAGGGGTCTGCAGCCAGGTCCGAGCTGTGGTTTGTTCGCAGGGAAAGATCTTCAGAACCGAGCCCCAAGCGTAGTGAATCGAAGCTCCAGAAGCACCCGAAAGACGTGCCCTGTAGACCAAGACCCGCTGCCTCGACTCGACTCTGCGTGACGCGCTCCGAGCTGCAGCAGCGGAATGCCTCGCACGTGCAATCACGTGCAATCACGTGCAGGTCGTGATCTCCCGGGAGTCCTCGGCGGCATGCGCTGCCGCTTCGCCTACGGTCCGGGCCTCAGCTTCTTTGGAGGCTTTTTAGAGGTTTTTCTTGAAGGTTTGTGGCTTTGTGGATTCAGAGCAGGTTCGGAGCAGATTCGGAGCGGTTTTGCATAGCTTTTTGGCTGTTTTTGGGTCGGTCCTTTCCGTGTTGAGGTGGCATCTGAGGGGTTTCAGACTGCGAAGCCAATATGTGTGTCGATAGCTTTTTTCGGTCTGAGGCTCTCTACCTCGACAACTTGCAGGACACGGGCTCCGAAGGGTTCCCAATAAAAGGTTTGGAGTTCAGGTCATTGGCCTTCCTGGACCGGCGGCCTCGTGAAATTTGATTGTTGAGAGTTCCTGAACCGTAAAGTGAGTGCTTGGAGGGACGTAAAGATCCTGCAGTTAGGCTCGTGAGCTCGTAAATCGTAGGTTGAGGCTTTAGGGCTTTCGCCCCCGACTTGCCCTGGACACCTGGGCACTCGAGTCCATAGCGTCAAGACGAGCACCCAAACCGAACTCTTTGATCCCCAGGGCTCGGCCCCTGGCTCAAGAGTCCTCTTTTGAGAGCCTGAAAAAGAGGTGGAAGAATGCGGAAGGAGCGTACTCAGAGAAGTCAGAGCCGCCTTCCAGGCCCCGAAGGAGGCGAAGGAAGGCAAGAGCTCCCAGAGCGCCCCGTCGAAGAAGCAAGAGGCCGCTCGCTCTCTTCTATTTGCTTTTCCTTTCATCTTTTCGCACATTTTGCTCTGCGCTCTCTCTGTCTCTCTTTTTGAGCTGTGCTCTCAGTCTTTGGGATTTGCAGTGTTCTCTTGGCCCGCTCGTGCCGGACTGCCGCGGACAAGCTGAGGCTGAATTCCCGGCTGCTGGCATCTCGAACATCTTTTGCATCTAATCAATGGCATCTACTACCAGAATCTGCACTGAGCCATGTCACATCGGCAGGCCAGCTCACGAGGCTTCTTCGAGAAGCTGACCCGGCAGGTGGACAAGACCTTGCAGAAGGCTCCCCAAAGGGGGGGAAGAGGTCGAAGCCGCTGCCAAGCCCAGCAAGCAGAACCATGAGAACAAAAGTTTGAAGAGCCAGCGCACGGATGAGAGGTGGAGCAATCACTGTTCGCGGACCCGCCTGCTGGACAGGCTCCGATGCTTCTCGTTCGTTTTGATTTCGGGTCTTGGTTGCGGACTTTTGTGCGGACTATGCCCGATTTGGGTGTTTCAGGATTTCGGGTCTTCGGGGGTCGGTGATGGGAGGTCGCAAGGTTTCTCCGTGCGCAGGAAATGCTTGCTCAGCGGGTTCCCGACGGGCTCCCGACAGTCTCCCGACTCCCGACTCTAACTCCTAGATGCCCCACCCCCCCCAGAAGGGCCTCACCGAAGGCCCCGGCCAAGGCGTCGCCAGCACTGCGAGGGCCCTCGGAGGGCTGCGTTTACGAGGGTTGGTTTGTCTTTGTTTTTTGGGGGGGGGGCTTTCTAGAGGTTTGGGTTCAAGGGCTTCCGCCACAGAGCGTCAGCTGGCTCTTTTCTGCCCGTCGTCATGTCAGACAGTAAAGAGCCAGCTGGCGCTCTGAGACATAGAGCTGTAAGAGGTCAGTGCCGGACTTGGGCCTCCTTGACACCCATCCCTAAGAGCCCGCGAAGCCCTCTTGAAGCCCAAATGCTCAGTTGATGCCCAGCTCATTGCCAAGGCCTGTTGGGCAGCCGCTTGACGAGGCCCAGGGGAATCCGGCCCCTCCCAAAGCCACGAAACACTCATAAAGCTCTGGACCTCTGCATTCAGGATGCATCAGCCCGCTTTCCTAGAGCCGATGCCCCTCTCCGTTAAAACGAAGTCAGAGCTCGTAGGCGAGAACGAGAAGCAGGCGAGTGCTGATACGGAGCCCCTGGGATGTGGGCTGTAGGGCACATCGGACACAAGAAACCCGAAGAACGCTCGTTTGCAAAAAATACCTGTGGGAAGCCCTTTTGTGGGCAAAGCCGTTGGCCAAGCCCTTGGGCCGCAGGGCAAGCAGAATGTGAGTCCCGGGCGGGAGGCACCCTGCTCAGAGCAGCCAACCCTGTGCATTTGCAACTTTGAGTTACGGGCTCTCTGGATTGGGAATATTCGGATATGAGATGCATTGCTTGCATTCCTGTAAGGGCGTTTCTGGGCTTGGGCGTTCTCCATCTGTTCTTTCTTTGTAGGGAGGTCTTCGCACCTTGAGTGCCTCATGCATCCTTGACCAAGAAACCTCCAATTGCCTGAACGCTGAACCACTGCTCCCTCGAACCCGCCCTGAACCGCTCCGAGCCCTAAACCCCTCTGCGTCCGAAGTCAGGCGAAACCTCGGAGCCCCGCTGCTGGTGGCTACGAGGCTTCCTTTCTGGCAAAGCATCCCTCATCATCTCAGACCTGCGTGCTGGACCGTGATCACGAGCACCTTTCGAGCAGACTCCATGCTACATTGCAGCATCTTGGACAGTACAGATGGCTTGTTTGGTGAGGCGTCGCAAGGCGTGCCTCCAAAGGCAGCGCCGTCCATGCAGGCGTGCGGGGTGTCTCCTGGGCCGGACCGATTTCAGGGGTTTGGTGGCTTCAGTGGAGTCAGGGGTCGGTAGTCGTGGTTTTTTGGATGTTAAGCCTGCGTACTTTGCAAGGATGCCGCAGACTCTGCTCTTCTGAACGCCAGACCCCAAGTCCGTTCGGCCCCCTGCCCCAGAAGAAATGCCTGGAGAGCCAGGCTGCGCCGAACACGGAGCGCCTTCGTGCGGCCGAGGATCTGAAGCAACATGAAGCATGCTCCATGCCGTCCCTGTGCTCTTCCATACCGTTCCATAAAATGTTGCAAGGTGCTGTTGGACCCTTGTTTCTGTTCATAGGGAAGGCCGCATAAAACCTGGATCCTCCTTCAGCCAGCAGCAAACTGGGCAGGGCCACTTAAAGCAGGGACGTTGGGTGTTTAGGAGCTGTACTTGGGGGATATGTCGGGGCACGCCAGTTCTGCTACGAGCTTCGTTAGAGAATCTGCTGCTCAAGTGGCATTCGTCTTTCAGAGCTCTCCAAGGCTTTGTTCTAGCGCCACGTGTGTGGAGGAGCGTGCTGCCCGGGCCGAGCAGCTGCTGGAGGCCGCGGTGGCCCGCGAGGCGGCAAATGCGAAGAGCAAAGAAGTGAAAGAGATTGAAAGAGCAGCAAAATTTGAGAAGAAAGCAAAAGAAGGGCTCTCGATTGGTTTTCACATGGTGTTCAAGGGAGCTCTATAGGGCTTGGCTCCTTGAATGGCAAAATAACACCTAGTTCAAGTCCCAAACTTGCAATGAGCACACAAAAGACCTGAGCCCGGGATGCCTCCCCGATGAACCGGAGAATGCCCTGCAGGCGGTCTCCGCCTCGGAGCGCCTGACGTTGCGGAAGCAGCTGGAGACCCCTTTTGCTCTTCTAGTGGGTTATTAACTTCAAGGGTCGACCCTTGAGGAATTTGGAACGCCGGACTTAGATTGTGACCGCAACACGCATTTCGATGCCTTTGTCGATCTGCAGAGACCGGTCTGAAAGGACGAGGCGGAGCAGCTGGTGTCGGGGCTTTCCCAGCAGCTGGACAGTCGGGACCTCCCAGGACTAGGTTTTTGGTTCGTGGTCAGAGGATTTCATGATCCGCCTCTTGGCGCTACCATGCTCTGCGGCGTTGCAGATCTTTGAGCAAGACTTTGCAGCGGTTCCGTGTGTTAAGGGCTTGGGGCGGGCTGTAAGGATGCTGTGCGTTCCGAAGCCATATGTGGGGCACATTCTGCAGATTCTGCAGATGTTGGACTGTTGGACCGCAAAGGGCCCCAAACCGCTCAAACCGACTCAAACCCAGTCACCCCGTAGAATCCGTAGAATCGGAATCACAAAGCTGGGACGAGCGCCTAGGTGTGCAAAAGGAGGTGTCCGAGCAACGGGAGCGCTGTCAGGAGCGGAAGGGGTCTTTGGCTCCAGTGTTGGTTTTCATGGCTTTGTGGCATGCTTTGGGTAGTTTCATGAGCAGATTTGTCTTTGTCTGTCGCAGTGCCCTTGTGCGGAAGCTGAATTTGGAGGTCCATGTCTGCAAAAGATGAGCCAAAAAAGGCCCTTGACACCCTGAGGCCCTCGGGACCCCGTCGCAACGGAGCCCGCAGACGAAGCCCAAACCCTGCGAGCTCCTCCCCATTTCCACGGCAAAATTTGGACACCTTTGCGCTTTTTAAAGTTTTGTCTCGCCCTTAAAAACTCCCCCGAAGTCCAGGATGGCTGTTAGGGCTGTTAGGGGTACCCGAAAGCAACTCCGCGAGGCACTGGAAAAGCAGCTCCAAGAGGCATGGGTTGAAGCCATGGGTCGTTTCTTTTGGCCTGCTGTATAGACCTTTGCAACGTATACTTGGTGTGTCAGTTTATGTGGGGTGCTGTGGGGAGAATGCCCCCAGTAAACTCTTATTTACGAGGTTTTTAGCAACCAGGGGTTTGGGGAGTCCCCGACACCCCAAATCCTTGCACCACCGTCTTCCTCACAGGCGCGAGCTGCGCCGGCCGAGGGCGAGGGCCAAGGCCTGGTGCACGGGGGGCCTTTACGAGGCCATGAGCTTCCCAGAAATGTTGAACTAGCTTGCTGTAGCGAGGAGGAGTAGCGTGAGCAGCGGAGTAGGCTGACCGGCTGACCAGGAGTAGAATAATGGATGATGAATAGTAGGATGAGTTGGAGTAATATGACTACGAGTAAGGAGGAGGAGCAGGAGCAGAAAGGCTCAAACAATCCCTAAGCCTTAAAACCCCCCTAAGACCCCCGAAGTCCCAAACGAAAAGCAACCCTGAAAAGCCCTCAACCTTCAACGCTAAAACCTTGTACTCGAGCTCGAACGGGCCTGCTCTAGTGGGGCTCCGGTGGCCATTCTTGTACTTGACCTGTCCAAATTCTTCTTGGAGCATTGAGTATGGGTTGCTCGATTGCTTTGGTAGCCCAGACGACAGACAGAATGGCTTCTCTCGCTACTCCGTGGTTCTGCCTTGGCAACGCCGTTGGCCTCTCCTGTGGACGAATTGCACACCGCAAGGTTGCCCTCTGCATGTCATTTCTATTGATGCTCTCATGACTGTTTGGATATGTGTGCTGTGTAATAAGCTCCCTGACGCTCGTTGCGGTGCTTTCGTCGATGACCGGTCCATCAGAGCCCATTCTCGCGCTGTGTTTGATCGCGCCGTCGCTCTTACTGATGAGCTTGATGGTTTGTCAGGGTCTTGGCCCAATCGGGAAAAGACTGGCGTGATGGTCACGCGTCTCCCTCTGGAATGGCAGCTCCATGATTCTTATCACGGCCTCATCTGATTTCCCCCTATGCCTTTGCTGAATTTTTGGGCATCAGCATACCTCTCGGTATGCTGCTGTGTTTCATGTCGTCAGGAGGCGCTCCCTGACAGCCGTTGAAGCGCATTCAGTTTGCGCCCCTTCGCTTTATAGGCAAACATGCCGGTGTCGCTTCCTGTGTGGAGAATAGGTTCGAAGTTCGCACGCTCTGGGGTTTTGCCGGACCTTTAAAGGTGTCTTCTTTGCCCTTTGCTCTTCCGGGTCTTTGATTGATCCGCATCAAGTCCGGTTTCTTGTGCAGATGCCCTGACGCGCGCGACTCTTGTATTGCCCTGTGGCACTCTCGTGCCGGTTCGGGTGTTCAGGGACGCCTCGGTTTGGCCGCGCAAGTTCAGCGTGTGTGGCCCTGCCTCGGTCTTGCTTGGCAGAGCCATTTTAAGCTTGAATGGTCTCGCTGCTCGCTCTCTCTACTTTGCAGTGACAGTTATCGTTTGCAGTCAGTGACCCGTGATTTTGCACGTTCTGCCATTCTTTCGCGGGCATCTAAGCATCCTTGTCTCAAGGGAACTCAAGCAAACGTTGATTCAACTGCAGATTTGGCCCTCTTCTCATGTAGTGTAATGTTAGGACAAGTCGTAGTGGAAGCGCACGTGTGATACCTACCCTGCAGCGTTGAACAGTAGGGTTTGAAAACAACCACCTCTCCCACCCGGCGAAATCGTGCTGTTCGGTCCAGAGGACTCCGCCCCGGGCAGACATCCAATGCACTCCAGCCACTGCTGTACCACTTGCGTGACAAAACAGTTGGAGCGAACGCCTTCGGAAGGGAGGGAAGGGAGGGGAAGGGAGGGAAGGGAAGGGAGGGAAGGGAGGGAAGGGAGTGGAAGGGAGGAAGGGAGGGAAGGGAAGGCGAAGGGAGGGAAGGGAGGGAAGGGAGGGAAGGGAGGAAGGAGGGAAGGGAGGGAGGGAGGGAAGGGAGGGGGGAGGGAAGGGAGGGAAGGGAGGGAAGGGGGGGAATGGGGAGGGAAGGGGGAGGAGGGGGAGGGACAGGGGGAGGGCCCAGGGGGGAGGGAAGGGGGAGGGACAGGGGGAGGGAAAGGGAGGGATAAAGGGGGAGGGAAAAGGGGGAGGGGACAAGGGGGAGTGGAGGGGAGGGAAGGGGAGGGAAGGGGCGAGGGATAAAAGGGTGGGTGGGGGAAGGGGGGAGGGACAAGGGGGAGGGAAGGGGGGAGGGACAAGGCCGCGGACCGGGCACCCGGGCCCCGAGGGAAGGGGGAGGGAGGGGGAGGGAAGGGGGAGGGCAGGGGGGAGGGAAGGGGGAGGTGAAGCGGGAGGGGAGATGGGAAGCGGGGAGGGAGAAGCGGGAGGGAAAGGGAGGGAGGGAAAAGAGGGAGGGAAGAGGGAGGGAAGAGGGAGGCAGAGGGAGGGAAAAGGGAGGGGGGAAGAGGGAGAGGGAGGGAAGAGGGGAGGGAGAGGGTGAGAAGAGGGAGGGAGAGGGGAGGGAAGAAAGAGGGAGGGAAGAGGGAGGGAAAAAAAAAGGGAAAGAGGGAGGGAAGAGGGAGGGAAGAGGGAGGGAAGAGGGGAGGAAAAGAGGGAGGGAAGAGGGGGGAAGGAGGAGGGAAGAGGGAGGGAAGAGGGAGGGAAGGGGAGGAAGAGGGAGGGAAAGAGGGAGGGAAGAGGGAGGGAAGAGGGAGGGAAGAGGGAGGGAAGAGGGAGGGGAGGGAGGGAGGGAGGGGAGGGAGGGGAGGGAGGGAGGGAGGGGGAGGGAGGGAGGGAGGGAGGGAGGGAGGAGGGAGGAGGGAGGAGCCCTAAACCTGTAATTCCATTCAAGACTGGCAACGCATTTGTCGCAAGACTCTAAATGGCCGCGTGCCAATATTGATTGCTTGTAACAGGGCCGCGGCCCGCACACGCGACATACCCCGTTACAGAGGGTATGTATCAACGGCCGGGGTTTTGCGACAGACCTGTTTGTTGTCTGCAGGTTCCAAGTCTTGCTTATCGGGGGGTAAGTGTTCGTAAGTTTCAAGAAGCAAATATATATGTATCCCTGAATTTGAAACCCCCTTAAACTCTTAAAGGCTGCGTATGTGGGGTGGTTCTAAGTCTTGCTTATCGGGGGGTAAGTGTTCGTAAATTTCAAGAAGCTGTGAGGGTTCCAGGTCTTGCTTGTCGCGGCCAACCCCACTCGGTCCTCAACAGGGGGACTCTCCAGGCTTTCGGCAAGACACCCCCGAAGCCTGAAACCCGAAATTCCCGAAAATCTGTGTTCATGCCTCCCGGTGCGCGACATACCCCGTTACAAGTGCGTTACATACCCGCGACAGACCAAACACAGTCCATTGCGACATCTGCGTAAGCAACGTGCGCCCCAAATAGACGCATTATCGTCCTACCCCAATGCGCCCTGAGAACCGTTTTTAGTGCATGAATATAATATATAATATATAATATATAATATATAATATATAATATATAATATAATATAATATAGTATAATATAATATAATTTAATATAGCATGATACGAACGTGCGCGCGACAGAGGTCTGTAACTAGCCGGGCGTTACAGAGGTCTGTAACAGGTGGGCGCGGGCGCGGGCCGCGACAACCGGGGGTTTAGGCACACAGCCAAATCTCGGTATTGCCTAAAGCTTAAGGCCCGAAGCTCCAGGCCTAGAAGGCGTTTTGGCTCTAAAGATCTCAGGACTTTCAGTTCAGGCTTAGTGCGTCGGTGTTCAGTGCAGGAACTCCCCAGTGAGACCCCTGCAGGTCCAGTGCGGCTTTTATTAGCCCAATCTACATGTAATCTGCCTTTCAATCCACGCGCTCCCTCCATGTCCGCGCCGCCTTGTCGATGGCTTTCACTCTTTTCTTTTGTCGCCTGAATGTGCTGAGGGTTCCAGCTCGCCGAATGTGTGCACTCCCGCGGTCCGTGCTCACTGAAAGCGTGTTAGACCATGTGGGTCGCTCGGGCGCTCAGGCCCTTGTCCTCAAGGCATCCAAAAGACGCTTGCTTGGTGCCCGAAACTCAGGTAGTCCTCCAACATGACCGCCGGGTCCTTGAGGTTCACAGGGCCATGATTGCTGTCGTTCTTGCTCGTAACGCCACACCGTGGTTCGCTCGTTCTTTGCTTGTTTGTGCCGCAGTGGACCTAAACCCTGAAGCTTAAAACCCGAAGCCTAAACCTCAAGCCCTGAACCTTAGTCAAACCGTTTGAGCCTGGAGCCTTCAA